AAGGAGCCCCTAATCAGGCTAGCAGCACGCCGGTGGCTCGGTTTCGCCGACAGGGCTGTGTTGACATGAATCCTTCACCGATCTTTGCCTCATCGGGAGATTCTTGCGACAGCTGCACCAACAACACGCCTATGGCACATCATGGCTGTAACAACACTGCCTGCCATCAAGCAAGAGCGCGCACGCTTCCTATTGTAGCAACCTCGACACACACCATAGTAGGTTTTCCAGATATAATAGCCATTTGTCGGGTCCGCCTCTCCAACATGCAGGCTGGTTAGTGAGCGAACATATGAACACTGTTCGTTCGGTTCGTTCTGTTCGTCATGAACAAACGAACAAAAGTCATCGAGTGAACAAACAAGCACATTGACCTTGTTCGTTCGCTTGTTTGCGAACAGTGGTGCAGATATTTGATGGAAGTTTGCTTTGTTGACACGGCGAGGGTAAAGTCGAGGTCTCAGGGTTTAGGGCTAGAAGACCGGCTCCAGAGGGCTGCCGGAGATGGAACTTCCGGCCGGTCGCTTTGCCGCAACGCGACGCGTTCAGACGCGTACGTGCTTTTGTGCCAAACAACGTGGTGTCTCTCCACTGTATAACTTTCCAATGTGCACCGACGGCGTCGCTGCGCTTTCCCCGACGCTTTCCAACCCTGCGACATCTCTGCCACTCCAACCCCAGCCAGACCTTCAGGCCGTTCACCAACGCCGCCGTACAACAGGCGGGTTTCTCGTGCAAGGAGACCTCTTGAAAGGGTACGAGCCAGCGCCTCCGACCAGGCGATCAACCACAAGCTGGATATACACCGACCCGAGGACCAATATTGAGCATGGAGAGGCCCTCGTTCGATCGTCTAGTGGCAAGAGGCTATGGCTGTGCAAACATTGCTATAACAAACGACAGCCAATTCTGTTTCTGTGCGATCCGCAACCGACGACAGTAGCGCAGCGACATCTTGGTGAGCATGGCTATAATCGAGACGGGTCAGAGATGCCTAAACTGGTAAATCGGAAAAGGAAGGCTCAAGAGCAAGATTCATACGATACCCGCCTCCGCCAGACGACCATGCTAGAGCAACGAGAGGCACAAGCCGCTACCTACAACAAGAGTGATTGGATCTATCATTTCGTACGGCATGTGGTCACAGACAATGTTTCCCTCCGAAGGTCCTGTTCGCCGGCACTTCTCAATCTTGCAACCTACCGCAACCCGGCACTATCGCCATGGTTTCCCCAGAGCCCAAGGACCACACGCGATTGGATCACACAGACGTATGCAGCTGCGAAGCCACGTATCGCGGCGTTGCTAGCTCATGCGAAAAGTCGGATCACTATCAGCTTCGATGGGTGGAAGAGCGAAAATGAGGTGGATCTTTTGGCCATCATGGCGCACTTTCTGGACGCGGACTTCAAACCGAAGGTGGTACTTCTGAGTCTCAGAAACACGTACGGGTCTCATGCTGGGGACGAGATCAAACAACAGCTATACGACGTTCTTACCGAGTACAAGATTCTCGATCGTATCGCCTTCTTCATGGCCGACAACGCTACCAGTAACGACAAGGCTCTCAAGCTCCTTGCCGAAGTCACCGACATCAATCCGATCAAACAACGCCTTCGCTGCACCGGCCACGTTATCAACCTTGTTTGTAAAGCTATTCTTTACGGCGTCGATGTCGACTGTGTTGCAGACGTACTCTCGGACGCCAAGTACGACGTCGAACACAGTGATGACCCTGATGCTGGTATAGGCACGTCTACTGTCTCCAAGTTCGAGGAGGCACTACGGACGAAGAATGAACGATTGAAGCTTGCAGCTTGGAGAAAGAAAGGGCCTATTGGCAAGCTACATAACCTCATACTACACGCGCGCGCCACACCCGCACGACGAGCGTTCTTCAAGAGTAAGCAGAAAGAGGCTATGCCGGATGCTGAGCGCTTGTTACACCTTGTTATCAACGGCGGTATCAAATGGAATAGCACGTGCGATATGCTCGAGCGTGCATTCATTCTGAAGGATGCCATTGATCTGTATCAAGCTCACTACCGTACGGATGACGAAGAACCTGTCGAAGAAGACGTCCTCACAACGGATGACTGGACCGAGCTGAAGCAACTTCACGATCTACTCATACCTTTGAGATCTCAATCGCTCCTTGTGCAATCTGAGTTTGGTACAAGCAAACATGGCGCACTTTACGATGCCCTTGGAACCATCGACTTTTTGATGACGAAGCTTGAAAATTTGAAGAAAGAGCACCGACATCTGCCGTCAACCCACTTCAAAGCTTCAATCAATCTGGGGTGGAAGAAGCTCAACAAGTACTATACGCTTACAGATCAAGTACCTGCGTACAGAGCTTCAATCTTTGCGCATCCCCACTTCAAAATGGCGTGGTTCAAAAGCAAGTGGGGCGGTACTCATCCGGCATGGATCAGTGCAGCTACGAAGGCTTTGAAAGGAATGTATAGCCAGTACGAGGTTCAATTTGGCAAAGAGAGCCGCCCAACATCTCCAACCAGAGTCAATGCAGACGTGTCCGAGTACGAAGCTTATATGTGTATCGAAGACGAGTTTAGTAACAGAGGCGACTATGTGCAATACGCGGAGGAGACCCGCGCACCTTCGAAGGTAGATCCTCTGAGGTGGTGGGTCGAGAATTGTCATCGTTATCCAATACTCAACCATATGGCATTCGATCTTCTCGCTGCGCCGGCTAGCAGCGCTGCAGATGAACGGTTGTTCAGTAAGGCACAGCATGTGCTCAACGAGGATCGATTCAACACGCTTGATGATCTGGCAGAATCGACGCAGTGTCTTAAGAACTGGTTCGAGCAAGGACTACTAGACTCACTGAATCTGAGATATCAGGAAGCACAAGATAAATTAGAGCAAGACAGTGTACCTCATTCCTGAATCGGAAGATATGCGAACGAACCGAACAAACAAGCGAACAAGCTCTGAACTGACAAACAAACAAGCGAACGCAGCACCTTATTCGAACGAACGAGCACATGCCTTGTTCGTGTTCTGTTCGTTCACTGACCTGCCTGG